TAGGGCTGTGGCCACCTCCAACAGTACACAACAGAACTTCATGTCTATAACTAGGGTCATGATGCCAGAATCTTAATTATGCAATGAAGTAATCTCAATGTATTATAGGCTCTTTTTTCTTTTTCACCCTTCTCTCCTCTCCTCTCCTCTCCCTCATCCTTACTTCCTTCATGAAATAGAGTGTCACTCCTTAGACAAGTCTGGCTTGTGATGTGAACTTCCTGCTACAGACTCCACTCCCAAGACCTGAGATTACAAGTTTGTACTACTACACCTGTTGTGATATTAATGTATTTTAATATTTAATTTTTTAACAAAATGGAGAATTTTCAAATGGTTTAAAAAGTGGTGACACTATCTTTTCAGTACAAAAAATAATACAATTAATGACTATGTGAAGGACTAGAGCATATAGCAAATAGATAGTGGATGTGTTGAATTTGAGCCAGAGTAGGACCAGAGTGTCAGAGTCCTGAGCTTGACAACTGAGCTACATGTCATTAGCTGAAGCCCCAGTTTACTCTTCTAGGGACCTTATATTTTGTTGACACCTATACATTTTCAACTTGTGTTTTCATATTATAGAAGTTCCAGTTAATTCTGTTTTAGTTTCCCTTACAGTCTCCCTTTTCTGCCTTTATTGTTTCCTTTAGGACCGGAAATGTATTTGTGATACTTGCACAGTATCTATGGATTCCTTAGGTCTGCCATCTGAAGGACTTCATGTAGTCACTTCAGCTCCCCCTGGTTATGGGGGCTCTAGTCACATGCTTTTCCCTGACAAGCAGATGTGACTTTGTTACAGTATAAGCACTGTAGAGGGTTTTGTGAACTACTTAAGGTTCTGCAAGTCATGTCCCACGAAAATACTATCTGTTCCATTACTGAGTTTACTTAGATATTGGGTTTTGGTGTCCTGGTTTGTTTAGGATCTTAACATGAGCTGGAGATAGTTTAATCCTACTACTAATGCTGGTTAACTAACAAATGTCTGACTTAACTTGGTGAAAACAATCATTAAATAGAAATCTTTAATGCAACCAGAAGAAAAGTATAGGTACATAAGGAACAAGAAGCAGAAGAAAAAATAAATTAATGGCATTTAAAAAAATTTTTTTGAGAAATCTCTATTTTGATTTCTTTTTTTATTTTTTATTTGTATTTTACATATTGATCCCAGTTCCCTCTCCCTCCTTCCCTCCATCCCACTGTCCTTCCCTCCCTCCTTCTTTCTCTCTCTTCCACACTCCCATGCCCCCCCACTTTCCCCTCCCCCTCCCTTCTCCACATGTAGGGAGATGCCTTCAAGGAGGGCATTTTTAGAAGGATGAGGGAAAGAAACAAAAATTTTATATCCATTGTAAATATCCCTGACAAACTTCCATCTAAAATGGTCATCTTATTCCAATAAAAATGAAAGAAGTTTCAGATGCTGGTCTTAACAGACACCCTTCTGTTTGTATTGATGTGTAACCCAATCCAACCCAGTGTGATTCAGGAATTTGCTATCAGTACTGGAATAGACAGACCTGTTTCTCTTGAGACCCAACACAGAGACTATTAACTACTTTAAAAAATCTTCCAACAGTCAATTTCAAAGTAGTCCTTACAAAATTCCGGTTCACTGAAAAATTCAGAATAGCCAAAGGAAATATTTTCAAAGTCTTTCCTTTTATTACTCAATTGCAGATTTCAATTGCCATAGCTTTGGCAAACTTTGTTTTCGGTCTCTTCATGCCAGCAATTCGGTACTGTCTTCTGTGATCTTCACTCTTTACTCCATGGAAATTTAAGGTTTATGATTTTTTTTTTGTTTGGAAAAGTATTGATTTGTGAATACTCACTGGCTGACTTAACCAGTTACATAATTATATTTTCTTTTAAAATTTTAATGTAATATAATTATTTGATAATTTTATACATCATAGTGTATTTTGAACATAAAACACATTTGCCCCTTCTCTCCTTCTCCATGTCCTCCTGATCTACCCCCACCACAGCCTAACCCCTTCTCAACTTGTTGTTTTATTATGTATTTACAAAAATCACTGACTCAAATTTGCACTTCCGTGGTACACATCGGTGTAGGGTCATACTCTGGAATGTGGGTGACCAATTAGGGGAAACATTCTTAAATTAAAGTTATTCTCTCTTTCAGGTAGCCATCAACTATCAGTTGTTTCTTCACTAGAAATGTAGGCCTGTGAGGATGTTTCTGTTCCATGTGAGAGCACTAATTGGCTTGAACTTGAACAGACAGCCATTCAAGGACAATATTTACGACAATATTTATCATTCCCTTTCTGTTCTCCACATCCTTACAGCATAAACTGTCTTTGGTATTTTTGATTTTAGCTATTCTGACAGGAGTAAAATGGTATCTCAGAGTTGTTTTCATTTGCATTTCCCTGATGGTTAAGGATGTTGATCATTCCCTTAAGTGTATTTCATCCATTTTAGATTCCTCTATTGAGAATTCTCTACTTAGTTCTGTATCCCACTTTTTAATTGGATTATTTGGTCTTTTGGTAACTAGCTTCTTGAGTTCTTTGTAATTTTTGGAAGTCAGCCTTATGTCAGATGTGGGGTGTTATGTTTAAGAAAAGTCTCCTGTTTCAGTTCATTCAGTGGTACCTCCCACTTTCTCTTCTAAGAGGTTCAGTGTGGCTGGATTTATGTTGAGGCCTTTGATCCATTTGGACTTAAGTTTTGTGCAAGTTATGGATCTATCTGTGGTCTTACATAGACCAGCATATAGTTATGTCAACAAAATGTGAGATACTTTTAATTCTCAGTCTTGCTTATGTTGCTAAGTATGATCATTTTGAGTGACAACCCTTTTCCTGTGACAGCATTTCATCCTTCATCATGCTTTGTAAAGCTCTCCACTACGTGTATATACCACATTCTTCTTCATCTATGCCTCTGCTAATGGATACATTGTCTAATTCTATAGCATGTCTATTATGAATATTATAATAAGGTGGGTGAGCCATATATCTGAGTTATGCATAAATTACCAGAAATATGTGGGAACACCATTTGGTAGTCTTGCATTTACTCTCTTAGAGAAGTTAAATCTTGATTTCATGGAGGCTGTACTCATTTACATTGACAACTGCAATACATAAGAAGCCCCCTTATATCTTCAACATTACTTACTCTTTGTTTTCTAAATGATAATAATTCTATAGTATTTTAATACTTGCTCTGTAATATCATTAAACTATTTTGGCTTATTATTGGTGTTTGTTGAAAAACACAAATTTCACTTTTACATATAAGCCAGTCCATTAGTTTTTCTCCTTTTTTAAAAGTAATGAAGATGTTTCACTTTATCTCTGAAAGTTGTTCTCTGTTATCTTTCACAATTAGATTGGAAATTCATTTACAGTTGCTTAGTCAACAGATGTGAAGTAAGGTTCACTTTTTCATTTCATAGTGAAAGTGATTTAACCTAACTTTTGAAGATACTAACTAGATTACAGTGTTTTCTTTGCTATATATCAAATGGATGATTTCTGCAACTTTCTTTCTCAATGTTCACTTTTATTCATCTCTGTCATTTCTCCAAACCTATACCATCTTAAATATTATTACTTTGTGATAGACATTGGCATTGGTACTATAAATCTCTATCTTTCTTCAAAAATTGCTTATAATTAAATGCAGTTTACATTTCAAACTCAATCTAGAATCAGCTTCTTATCTGTTCAGCTTGGCTCTCCATTAGTATAACATTCTATACATAGTTTAGTGTGTACCAGATTGGCATCTAGGTAGTACATTACCTGCCAATCTATTGACATGTATGTTCATACCTTTATTTAGGTATGGTAAATTTTCTTAATAATTCTTTCCATTCCTTATATAATGTTTCTTATATATTTTCCTAAATTGAAATATTATTATAAATTTTATTGTTTTTTACTTAGCATTTTAAATATTGATGTTTATCTTAAAAGGATGTTTTGTTTGTTTTTGTTTGCTTTTTAATTTTTTCAAGACAGGGTTTTTCTGTATTGCTTTGGAGCCTGGCCCAGAGCTAGCTCTGTATACCAGGCTAGCCTCAAACTCAGAGATCCCCCTGACTTCACCTCCCAAGTGCTGAGACTAAAGATGTGTGCCACCAATGTCCAGTTTATCTTAAAGGTTTAATAATAATAGTCTGGCCCTCATCTTCAGCAGAAGCCCTCTACTTGACTATAGGTCATGCCTGTCAACAGAACTCTAGGTAGGCCACCTGCCCATGGTCTCCCCTACTCTTTTAGTGCCTGCTGACCCCCCAATAGCCTCTCTTCTCCTCCTAGCTCTTTCCCAGCTACTAACACCAGCAAAAGACCCTGCTTGACCAGAGGCCATGATGATCACCAGTACTCCATGGAGGGCACCTGCCAATGGACTACCCCCACTTTTTCAGTACCTACCCAGTTCACCTCCAATCTTTCCTCCCAATTCCATCACCAGTTCATGGAACACAAATAGAGTTGTGGCTCCCTGTTCAACCAGAGGCCACAGGAAACATAACTCCAGGTAGTCCTCCTTTCTGGTGATATCCCTCACTCTTTCAGTTCCCCTTACATTATCCACAACCTCCACTCCTCCTCGTTGCCATATTTGAACCCCCAATTTGGTTGGAGACTGGCTGCTTGACCTGAGGCCACCCGGGCCATCAGAATTTCAGTCTCCATCTTAGGTGAAGACCCTTTGCCTACCCACATTCTACTTTAGCCAGAATACCAGAAACCAATGAACAAAATACCCATCTAACAAAGACACACTCAGAAATCGGCAGCTAGACCTATAATCACTCCAAAACCAGATACCTAGACATTAATGTAAGAGAAAAAAATAAACTATAGCCAAGACAATATCTCACCACTGGAGCCTAGCTATCCCACTACAGCAAGCCCTGAGAATGCCAATACAGCAAAAACACAATAAAAGACCTTACAAACCAACTTTATGAAGATCTCAAGGACAGTAGATTGGTAATCCAAACATCATGCAATGTTGATTTTAGCAAGAAGCTTAACAGGTAAAGGAAGCAACATATCATGACGTTATAAATTCAAGTATGCAATTATAATTTACAAATTATAAAACGTCTCCCTTTTATAACCAGTTGTTTTTGAATGGCTAAATTTTAGTGCCTTCCATTAACTAAAAGCCTATTCAGCAAGTCAAATGAACAAACACATCTACCCAAATTTACATCCCAGAATACCTAAGTAAACTGAAGACATTATTCAGATGAGTAAGTTCTATGCTTTTTTTCTTCATATGTGTGATCAGGTTGCAAAGGACATGCTTTTCTCTTTGCTGTTCCTAAGCCACTGCCTCCGGCTTCTTCAGAAACATGGTTCTCTTTTTCAGAGTCTTTAGGGGACAGCCTGAAGAATTCTCCAATGCCTTTTTGCCACTTTGGAGTTGTGTGCACACAGACTGGATTCCCTCCTGCATACTTATTTTCAGCTTTTCTCGAGGAACACGATGAAGAATTTGTGACAAAGGTGTAGGAGCCAAGCATCTTCCTGGGGGCTCCAGAAGCAACCACTTTTCTGTAGGCTCCCGGGACATAGCCTGCTTTGGTCCGCACCATGTTCACACAGGAAGAGACAACTCGCACCGACTCCCCAGCTGTAGATGTCTTAACTGGACAAAAACCCAAAAATCGATGGAAAAGTTCTTAAGAGAAAATGAATAAATACCTTTAAGAAAACAGGGGGGAAGAACAAACAACAATTTGTGGAAATTAATAAATTCCTAAAAAGGAGCCAAGACAAAACACACAGTTGAAGGAAATGATAAAATAGTTCCAGATCTGAACATATAAACAGAAGCAATGAAAACACAAAAGAGGGAGCCTGCACAGGCCATCTTCTGTGATCAAGTAAGTTTTCTAGTGGTGGGACAGGGGCACCAACATATAATCTTCCATATCTATCATCTGTACTGCCTCCAATCTATGCTGGGCAAATGGTGGATGTGAGCTTGTGGGACTGGCCAACCAATGAATGGCCTAAACTGAGATCCACACCAGGAAAGTGAATCTATCCCTCACATTGCCTGTATTGCCAGGAATTGGCAACTGGCTGGCTCAGGATATAGGATACAACCAAAAATGACTGGTAAAAAAAAAAAAAAAAAAAAAAAAAAAAAAAAAAAGAAAAGAAAGAAAAGAACTACTGTAGGAGCTACAAGAACTGAGGACACCCCAGGAACATGGCCCACAGAATAACATTAGCAGGGCTCATCAGGACTCACAGAGACTGAAGCAGAAAGCAGGGAGCCTGAACAGACCAGAACTAGGTCCTCTCTCTATATGTTGTTTTTCTTTAGCTTGGGTTTTTTTTGGGGGGGTCTCCTAAACAGTGCAAGTATGGGTATCTCTGATTCTTTATGCTGCTCATGGGACCATTTTCCTCCTGATGATTGACTCACCCAGCCCAGATAAGAAGGTTTGTGCCTGGTCTCTTCGTATCTTCTTCTGTTAGGCTGATATCCCAGAAGGCCTGCTCTTTTTTGAAGGGAAAAGGAGGATAAGTGAATCCAGAGGAGAGGGAAGCTGGGGCTCTGGGACTAGGAGCCATGAAAGGAGGAAAGGCTGTGGTCATGTTGTATTATTGTATGAGAGATTAAAAATAAAGGAAGAAAATTTGACAAACATACAATGAATACAACTATGAAAAATTATCTTTAAATGAAACATTATGGAAGATTCTCAAAAACACATCATTAAGTAAAAGAAAATCTATAAAGGAAAGCCCTTGGTATTCTCCCATTTAAGTATTTTTAATTATTAAAAAAAAATCTGCTTTTAAATGTTGGAATAATGGCTATTTTTAGTGAATTGTATTGAGTGAGAATCCAGTATGACTACAGACCAAAGATAACTCCTCTTTCTTTAGAAAGACATGATCCTGTTCCATTCATACCTTCAAGAGGTGAAAGTTCAGAAAACTGCATATTTGTGTGTATTTTTCAATCATTGTTTATGAAAATAAGGAGATGATTTAAAAGCCCAGATGAATGACTTTTGCTACTTATCAGATTTAATGTTTTAAATCATAACTGTTACCTAGAAAATAATAAATAAATAAATAAATGGGGATGAATTATGGAGACACAGGGAGCAGAATTGATGATTGGTTCCTCTGGGACAATTTTGATGCTCTGAACATTCTATAGCCTTGTGAGATTTTCAGTCAATGACATATTTCTTGGATCATCTGGGGAACAGCTGGCCATGGTTGTGTTCTTTCTAAATTTCAAATATGTTTTTGACTACTAAACTCTGGGGAGAAGCTGTGATGGAAGCTGCGCAGCAAACATATCTGCTTTAACAGTGACAGCAAGGGGAAGACAGAGTGGGAAGTGGCAGACAGGGACTATTTGCTGGTGGTAACAGCTGCTAAGCAGAGGCATCACCAGGAGGTCAAGCTTTAAGAGGAGATGTTAACACATTAAATTCCAGCTTCACTGAAGTGGTAGGAGTCTCCCTGCAATGAGTGATATGGGAGTGACTTCCTAGCACTGTCTAATAAAAACATGCTAAATAGCCATGGGACATGCATGACAGAAATTCCTGTCCCAGTCTTGGACTTTTTTCTTACATGAAATATTTTACAAGAGATAAACATTAAATGTATTTTAAAGAACATACACAGGTAAGGATGAAAAAGGCTTCCAGCAGTGTATCAAGAATTTCAGAGTGTGGGGAGGGAGCCTGCCTTTAAGTGCCCTACTTGGAGCATCCTGAGGACTGGAGGGTGTGTGCAGAGGAGCCCTCCCCAAAGACTAGCCTTCCAAAAGTCTGCCAGTGTCCTGGTTCCACTTCCAACCATGGTAGGAGATAGGTAGGAGATAAGTTTGGGTTTGTTTCCTGATTTCCTTCTAGGACCCTGCTCAGAGCCTCCTGAAGAGTGGGGACTGAACACACACTGGGAACCTGTCCAATTGGAGTGGCCTGCCCAGAGTCTGCCAGTATCCTGGCCCCGCCTCCATTCTCAGAAAGAGCCTGAAGAATGTCCTTTCCAGTGCCCTGTTTAGAGCCTCTGTAGGACTGCGGACTGTGTGCAGGGTAAACCTTCCCAGTAGAACTGCCCATCTGGAGCCTGCCACTATAAGACCCATAGGGGACTTGGACTTGCTTGCACCTACCAGAAGAGAGACCCCACCCATACACTTGGAAGAAGGGGTCTTATCATAATAAGAACACAGTCAACAACAGAAAGATCAATATGACACCCCCAGAGTCTAGGGTCTCCACAGCAGCTAGACCTGAACATCCCAACACAGATGAAGCAGAAGAGAACAACCCTAAAAACAACTTTGAATGATGATAAAGTCCCTAAGAAAGGAAATAAAACAATCCTTTAAAGAAATGAAAAAAAAAAAAAAAATCAAATTAAGCAAGGAAAGCCAAGAAAAACCAATCAAGCATATGAAGGAAATAATTCAAACAGTTCATGGCCTGAAAATTGAAATACAGACAATAAAGAAAACACAAACTGAAGGAATGCTAGAAATAGAAAGGGCTGGGTTAACAATCAGGAACTACAGACACAAGCATAGCCAACAGAATACAAAAGATGGAAGAAAGAATCTCAGGTGCTGAAGATACACAAGGAGAAATAAATTTATTAACAAAAAATTTTAAGTCCAACAAATCCCTGAGACAAAATATCCAGGAAATATGGATGTTTTGTAAAAAGACCAAAATGTAAGAATAATAGGTATAGAAGAAAGTGAAGAACAGAAAATATATTCAACAAAATCATAGAAGAAAACTTTCCCAACCTATAGAGAGACATGCCAATGACAGTACAAGAAGCTTATAGAACATCAAATATAGTGGACCACAAAAAAAAAAAAAAAAAAAAAAAAAAAAAAGAAAAGAAAAGAAAAAATAAGATTCCCTCACCACATATTAATCAAAATATTAAACATACAGATTAAGGAAAGAATATTAAGAGCAGCAAAGTAAAAAAGGCCAAGTGACATATAAAGAAGTAATATATAACAGAAGTTATGACCTGATTTGGTAACTGACATTTATAGAACATTCCATCCAAATACAAAAGAATATACTTTCTTCTCAGCTCTACATGAACCTTCTCTAAACTGGACCACATACTTGGCAATATAGCAAACCTCAATAATTACAAAAAGAAAAAAAAAATAGTATAACTCCTGTATGCTTTAAAGTTAGAATTCAACAAAATCACAAACTGCAGAAATCCTACAAACTCATGGAAACTGAACAATACGCAATTGCACCATTCCTGGGTCAAGGAGCAAATAAAGAAATTAAAGACTTCCTAGAATTCAATGAGAATGAAGACAACATACCCAAATTTATGGTGCATCATATGAAGAAACTGGACAATAGTCATATTAAAGAATCAACAGCACAAATGAAAGCCCTAGAACAAAAAGAAGCAAACTCACTCCAGAAGAGTAGACGCCATGAAATAATCAAATAAGGGCAGAAATTAGTAAAGTAAAAACTAGGAAAATAATACAAAGAATCAATTTAATAAAGATTTGGCTCTTCAAGAAAATCAACAAGATAGATAATCCTTTATCCAACCTAACCAAAAGGCAGAGAGAGAACATGCAAATTAACAAGATCAGAAATGAAAAGGGGGACATAACAATGGACACTGAGGAAATTCAGTGAATCTTCAGTTCATACTTTGAAAACCTGTACTCCACAAAATTAAAAATTTCAATGGAAATGGGCAATTTTATGGATAGATATCTCTTACCAAAATTAAATCAAGAGCAGATAAACAATTTAAATATACCTATAACTCCTAACAAAATAGAAGCAGTCATCAAAAGTATCCCAACTGGGAAAAAACAACAACAAAAACCACCCAAGGCAAGATGGTTTCAGTGGAGAATTCTACCTGAAATTCAAAGAACAGCTAATACCAATACTCCTCAAAGTGTTCCACACAATAGAATTAGAAGGGTCATTGCCATCTCTTTTTACAAGTCTAAAATTACCTTAGTACCCAAGCCACACAAAGGCACAACTAGGAAAGAGAACTACAGACCAATATTCTTTATGAACATTGATGTAAAAATATTCAATAAAATACTTGCAAATCATCCAACTTGACCAAGTAGGCTTCATTCCAGTGATGTGGGGATGGTTCAACATATGAAAATCCATCAATTAAATCCACCATATAAACAAACTGAAAAAGAAAAATCACATAACCATTTCATTAGATGCTGAAAAAGCCTTTGACAAAATCCAACACCTGTTCATGACAAAGGTCTTGGAGAGATCAGGGATAACAGGAACACATCTAAATATAATAAAAGCAATATACAGCATTCCAACAGCCAACATCAAACTAAATAGAGAGAAACTCAATGTGATTCCTTTAAATTCAGTTTAAATTCAGGAATGAGATGAGACAAGGCTGTCCCCTCTCTCCATACCACTTCAATATTGTACTTGAAGTTCTAGCTAGAACAGAGAGAGAGAGAGAGAGAGAGAGAGAGAGAGAGAGAGAGAGAGAGAGAGAGATATCTAGGGGATACAAATTGCAAAGGAAGAAGTCAGACTGTCACAATTTGCAAATGATATGATCGTTTATATAAGCAACCCAAAAAACTCTATCAGGAAACTCCTACAGCTGATAAACAC